GCACCCTTCTGCTGGTTTTGTAGCCGTGTTTTCACCAAATCGATTGGAAATACGCATGACACACCCACAATTCCTGCAATGCCACCATTAATCACTTTGGGCACAAGCCTAAAAGCATTGACAAATCGTAACATCATACGAGAAACTGGCATCCCGATCCCACGGTTGTTTTTCAGGCATATTTCAGCGAGTTTCTCAAATGATTGCTACCAAAAAAGATGGACATAAGCAATTCGAAAACAAGTCATACGTCAAACCACACGACCAACAAAATCAAAAAAGCACCATCTATTACAATAAATTAAACAAAATAAGCATTCATATAAATGTGCATCCGTAAAAAATAGACTTGAAAATAATTAACCATTTTGCTTTACATTAAAGTTTTTCAAATAATATTTCATGTAATAAAATCTATAGCGAGAAAGATAATCCGTCCTTTATAAAATCTTAGTGTGTTTCTTTTAGAAAATGACTAATTTTGCAGTTTTCCTAAAAAAATGATTTTTTTGCACGCTTAGTTAGAGTTGACATTAGAACCAGAGTTTGTCAGTCACACAAAAGTCAAGTGGAAGCGCGCATCACCATAGTCCTTGAAGCCTAAATACATCATGGAAATTTATTGCTCGGATTTTCAATTTTGATCCAAGAATATTTTTGAAATACTTTGAATCCAAGACTCGTGCAAAACTACAAAAATCTCTGATGTACGTTGTTGTTTCGCCTCCAAAATCAGCTAAAATTCCACGGCCATCTTCTTCGCCATCCATCTAATTACCGATTTAGTTGTATTTTACCAGATGTGTGTAACTATTGTAGACTTATTTTCTTTTTTTCTTTACAGAGGTATCGAACATCTACCGTTGCGTAGAGGAATAGCATATCAAACGCCGGGTAACTTCAAAACAAGAGATCGGAATTGGTGCGAAACTCTCCTGTTCCAAAGGAAGTGCATGTACTTCAGGCAGGAGACCCTCTAATTCCTCCGTAGCAAAAGCTAAATATAACGTTAATATTCACGACCTATTCTACTCTATGGTTCACGAAATGATCAGCAATGAATAATCACAATCCTGGAATGGTTCCTATTGTTACGAGGTTCCATGTTTGGCAATAGAAGCCACATAGTTTGCCGCACTATGCATATTCAGGTCAAAGTGCAAGTTTGAAGATCTGCCCTGTTACGAAGTGGGGGCCAAACGGTAGAAGCAGCATCACTGCTAAAGAAACCCCCATTTATGCAAAGCCGGCTAAACGATTTGTTTTGCCCCTTGATGAAATGTCTTTATTGTACATACATTTAGATGTTAGGAGCATGAGTTTCGCTCATTAGTTTGTCAACTCTTGGGCCTGCTAAATTTGTCAATCTGCTTTACAATACCCCATATTTTTCGCACTCGAGAAACTTTCGGAAACATCCAGAAATATTCATTATTTTGAGCTTATTCGGTGGTGTAGTTTAGCGTAAAAATTCTCTAAATCTCAACATCCAATCGACATTGACATCTTCATTCAAATGCCGTAGATTCCCCAACATATTTATCGTCGATTTTATGGTTGTGTCTTCTACCGTATTTCGGACGAAATGTAGGTATCCCTAAGATCCGCATCAAAGAGATAATCTTACAGCTACAGATTACCAATTGTGAAAGTAAATCGCTATTCTTTAACCAAGTGAGGCCGAAATCTCTGTCCGTTGCTTACTACTTCAGAAACTCTTCCTTTAAAGCATTCCTCCTCTTAGCTTTTGAGGTATGTGAATTCCACATGGACTGTTTCGCCACGATACCCAACCCATACCAATGTGTGCTTGATGTTGCCTCACAGGCGCACATTTGTGCTCGCAGCAAACAGCAGTGGAAAGAAACATGGACTCCCATTTATTGTCAAAATTGTATAAGAATCCAGCTATTATTCTCATTAGGCTTGTCGGACAAGGTTATCCATCATGCATGGACGTGACCCCTAACCCACCTTAACGGCTCCACGAAGGATACACAACCAGAGAGATTAGCTTAGCATACCCACGTTGAAGGAGACAATAAATCACTTAAATATGCAAAAAATTACAGAAATCCGGGCTTCTCGGTTGGTGATCATATCTAGACATTAGTCCAAGTTTTCACGCTGAAACTTGCTCAAATTGTCCCTTTTACATCTCGAAAACCACTGTAGAGCTTTACCCATTGCCGACAATCCATTAATTCATAAAGTTGCGGAGTCAA